TTGCGCGTTCGTACGCAACAAACGCGTAAACGAGCACGTTTGTATGTTTACGTTTTGTTGTGTAAGTTTGTTTGTATTGTTTCATTTTGTATTCGTTCAACCCGCACTTGATTATTTTACTTTGTTTCAGTTTGTTTTGTATTTTTTTCAGTTAGAAATCGTTCTCATAAACAATAGACATTAAACAAACAAACTTTATCAACACATGGAACGCAAACAAAGTCTCAATCTGGTCTTGCGTTATTATTAACCATCAGAACCGTCAACATAAACACCATATAAAACTTAAACTCACACAGATTTGCAGCAATAAACACATCCAACAATAAAACATCAACAATGCATAAACATTAAACATGTCAGCCGGATGTTAAACAGTGCATCAACATAAAATAACAACAGCCAGCTACGAAAGAGGTACCCAAGTGATGTGATGTTATACGATGCTACGTAATGCAATGGGATGTTGTGTGATGTTACGCATTAGGTAATGTTATCTTATCGCTTCACAAGTTATCAAACGCATATATAGCAAGTATCGGTGCTAACAATAAAATATTTAAAATATAAAACACACTCAACTGGTCATAAAAAAATGACAACAAGAATCCAACAACAACACATCATCACCACTGCACACAAAACCACACACACACAAACACACACACAAACACACGCACGCACACACATTACCACACGAAAGGCAATTAATTTAATTGGACTTAATGTTTGCTGGCAAGATGAGTTGGTGTTAATTGGTTCCTATTATCACCTTACTATAATGGACGGCCACAACCAGTGATGTGCCAATAAATAAATATTCATATAAAGGGAGAGAGAGAGAAAGGGAGAGAGAAATTTAGAAATTTATACATATATTTATACATATATTTATACATATATTTATACATATATTTAAATATGCACTTGATGATGATAAAAAGTTTGAGTTTTTCATTCTTTTTGATTTCGTTCTTTTCATCAAAGCAGAACTAGAACTGCTTGGGTGTGATGATCTTTAAGTTTTAGACAGACAGCATTCGAACCAGGGCATCGCATAGCTGTACGAGACATGGGGCTTTTACCGATTGAGCTAACTCACCGACCGAATAAAGATGGTGATAATGATAACGGTGATTCAGATGATGATAATGATGATGCAGATGATGGTGACGATGATGGAGATGATGATGATGATGGTGGAGATGATGATGATGATGATATTGATGACCTTTGAGCCTAGATAAGTCTTAAATAATTGGTCGATTTGGCAGGAAGTTGATGTACACACAGCGATGACGTATATATTATAAACAAGTACCGCACGTTTGCGTGTGTGCACGTTTACACGCATTTGTACGAATGAATGTACGTTTACAAATAACTACATGAAACTCCTGGTACTCTCAATTCAATTGACATTTGTCACAGTATCTCAATATTTTTTTTACGTTCAAGTCAGCAAGCAAAACAAGCAAACATTCGTTATATATTCCAAATTTCAACCCTCACACACACAAACATGGACACACACAGGTACGCACACGAACGCATAGATACACGCACACCCAGACAACTTTTAATACGGCTACATAGTGACAGATTTATAAAAGCTAATGTATTACACACACAACGTACGTGTATGTATGTGTGTTTGTTAGTGTCTGTGTATGTGTTTATGTATATTGTACATTTACGAAGCTTAATAATAAATAGGAAATTTATTTCATGTCATTTACATGCGTGCACTTGCATATTTGTGAAGATATGACGTTAATAAAAACTTGGGTGCTATATGTTTGTGTGTGCGCGCGTGTTTATGACATGACGCATGTTTGTATAGTAATAAACATGCATGTATAATATATCAACATGTTGAGAAAAGCTGAGATCAAAAAATTGTTCACATGTTCGACTACACCTCATGCTGCATGATGTATTATGAACAAATATATATATATATATATATATATATATATATATATATATATATATATATATATATATATATATATATATATATGTTAAAGGCAATCATTTATACCACCAAAAGCCTACGTAAATTTTTTAATTATTGCTTTTTTTATGGTTTTTCTACAAAAGATAAAAATTACATTACATAAACTAACCAGCAAAGTAGCGCTTCCATGTCTCTTGCTGCAGCCGCCATCAACGCTACTGTCGCTACTACTGCTTCCACTTCTTATTCCGTCATTGTTAGTAGCTGCTGTAGTAGTGGCTGCAGTGGTGCATGTTATTTCTTCGTTAGTTTTTTTACCTCCTCTGAAGTTAAAAATTAATCCGCTGTGAGGTTTTAAGCCTTTCAAATGCTTTCTGTCTTTTGGCTCGTTTTTATTTTTATTTTTGTTATTTTTACTATTAATTTTATTATTATTATTCTTATTGTTGAATTCATTATTCTGAATAATACTGTTATTTCTTTCGTTATCGCTGCCCATGTTGTTATTATTATTACTGTTGTTGTTGTTGTTGTTAATATTATTATTCGCTCTTTTATTCTTCTTATTTTTTGATTTGATCACCATGACGACGATGGCCACCAATAGGATGACGGCCAGCGACGCGGTTACCATGACGACGCTGGCGATGATGACGATGTTTCTCGTGTTTTCGTCTTTCAACAGCATAGACCCGAAATTATCATTATTATTATTATTGTTGTTGTTATTATTATTACTATTTTTAATATCATTGATTGGAACGTTAGTAACGACGACAGCAAGTGTGGCTGTCGTTTTGAGAGGCGGATAGGTCGAGTTACTGGCCGATAAGGTTAAGGTGAATGATGACGTTTCATTATGTTTGTCACGTGCTAATATGTTATTATTATTATTATTGTTGTTGTTGTTTTTGTTGTTGTTGTTTTTATTGTTGTTTGCAATGGACGATAAAAGGAAATCATTGTAGCATGTGACGTCAAAGAATAGCTGTCCCGACGTGACGTCAACAACGAAGATGTCAACTCCCTTCCTGCAAGCTGTGGTTGTTGCGTCGCTACTACTATCATTACCACCATTTCCATCATCGTTGTCGTCGTCTTCATTTATATTAATATGGCCGTTCGTTTCGTCATTGTTATCTATTGGAGAGCTCACGTGATCAATTGAAAATATGACGTCATCGTCGATTTTTATTTTTCTAACTTTCAAATCCGCAATACGAATGAGTTGTTTGTTATTTTTGTTCGAGTTTGTGTTGTTGTTGTTGCTGCTGGGAGTTAGCGTTGAATAGTTGATGATTAGTGTACTGTTTTGCGTGTAGGATAGCGGGTATTCAAATACCGGGTACACATCATTTGGCTCTCTGAGAAACACCAGCACATCGCAAGTGTTGTTAGCGGGTGACGCAGTTGTAGAAAAAGAATTCTCATTTAAGGCCAATACTTTATAACGTTGCAATTTGCAATTATTGTTATTATTATTATTATTGTTGTTGTTGTTATTGAGATTGAGATTGTCAACGGTGAATAGCCGGCCAGTGTATTTGTCGACATTTAGAACATTGCAGTTGTCGCTGACCTGTTGCTCCAACATTTCGTACCACACGACATTGTTACCTTCGCCTACATCCCCGTCCCGAGCCAGAACGACACCGACGGTCGAGTTCATCGGAGCTTTGTAATCGATGACGAAATTATAAGTCGGTATGTCAAATATCGGTTTGTTGTCGTTTTCATCATCAACGATGACAATGACTGTTGTTGTGTTGGTGAGGCTCGGATCGCCGTGGTCACTCGCTTCGACGATTAATGTCAAGTAACATACGCTGCTTTGAAGGGGGCGGTATTTGAAGAGGTCAATGTCCTTTATCCGGTCATCATTCTCGTTGTTTTTGTTGGAGTTATAAGTGTTGTCACTTTTATTGCTAGTGTTGCTGCCGGGTATGACGTATTTCAAGTTTCCGTATCTTTTGCACTGCTCCCTGTCAAATGACACTTTCGAACGAATCGTTCCTATATTTGGTTCCATGAAGAAATATAGAGTCGAATCGTTAATTAGTCGGTATGTGACTGCTCCGTTATCTCCTTGATCCAGGTCAGTTGCCTTGATCGTTCCCACAAATATCCCGGATGGCGAGTTTTCTTTCAAAGAGAAAATGTAATCGTTTCTTTCGAACTGAGGTACATTATCGTTGACATCAATCACAGTAACCACAATGCTCTGGCTCGAAGTGAGAGATGTGTTCAATAAAATTGGATTGTCTCTGCAGATTAATGTAAAATTGATATCTGGAGTTTTCTCTACGTCCAAAATTTTAGCAACATTGATAGTAAACCTTCCTACATTCTGAATGGAAATGAAATTGTCAGCTGCGAAATTGTTGGAACTCGTGATGGAGTCACCGTCGACAATTTTTAATTTGAAGAAATCACTGTCATCGCCATCCAAGTAGCACAGGACGTTTCCATTGGCTCCATCATCTAAATCGTTGACCTCAACCGCGTTCACTAACGTGTCAACCATCGAGTTCTCCAGCACCTTCATCGATCCTGACAGTTTTGAAATGGTCGGAGAGTTGTCGTTGATGTCGAACACATCCACAACAACCTGCGCAGTGCTGGACAACGGTCTGTCGCTTGAATCAACTGCCGCGACAATGAATTGTAACTTGGGAGTTTTTTCTCTGTCGAGCAAATTACTTTTCAGCGTTATTTCACCAGTTTTGTTATCGAGAGCAAATAATAATTGGATCTGGCGAGGGGGGTTGAAGAGTCGGTAGGTGAGAGAGCCAGCCGGTCCTCCATCTTCGTCGCTGGCGTGCACGCTGGTGACATGCGTTCCTCGAGGAGATGACTCAACGACGACTGCGTTGTAATATTTTGAATCAAACACAGGTACGTGATCGTTGACATCTTCAATCGTGATTCTCAATACTGTCGACCCACCTGAGTTGCCTCCGTCTTTCGCTTTCAACAACACCGCGTATGTCTGAGCGGGTTTGAAGATATCAGAGTGGTAGAGACTTTTTTTCAAAACCATCTTGAGATCATTTATTTTGGTAGGATCATATAGTAGTTCGAAATATCCAGAAAGTTTCAAATTAACTTCATTGTTTAAGATGTCAGCTAACTCATACTCAACTATGGAATATCGCGGGCTATCATTATCACGAGCCATCGGAAGTTTAACAATGAATCCTTCTTTGGCATCTTCTGGGATGTTGACCGGATGTGAAGTCTGGTTGCCGAAGTTGGGAACGTTGTCATTGATGTCTAGAATGTTAATGTTCAGACTGAAAACTCGGTAGATCATTGAATCCTGGGCAGACATTTTGAGTGTAACTACACATGTTGGCAGTCTGGAGCAATACATCTCTCGATCAATCTTCGAATTAACCTATGAAAAAAAAGGTTGCACTATCTCAAAATGTTATTGACACATTTATCTAAAATATTAACCTTAATTTAAATCAATACAAGATGAAAATTTACAAAATTTACAAAAAAATGAAAATAATTTCGCAAACCTTCAAAACGTTATTTTCGTCTAACGCGAACCAATCCTTGACGCTGATTTTCCTAACTCCACCGTCATCCACAGCATCATTTCCATAATCGTCGTCATCATACTTAGCATCGCCGATGACGTCATCAATGGTATCTCGCTGCAACTCCAAAGTCTGACTTTCGACTACAACGCGGAGAGCAGACATTTCCATTCCGACAAACTTCGATGCGATTTTCCGCTCTTCCAACATTTTGGCCACCACTGTACCAACCGCTACCTCTTCGTAGATTTCGAAATCATTTTTTGTGTTTTGAGTAGATGATGATGTTAATTTTAAAAGTAATATAATGGCGATGATCATCATTGTTTTCATCATTTCAACTGCTGAATTTGTTGGTGCCGACAATGACGATGGTAAAGAGGCCATCATTGAGGATGTTTTTAACAATGCGTTATTATTTTTCAACTACGTATATTCTATTTAAAAGTTAAGAACTGACCATACTAATTTCATGGTAATAAATGATAATTTTTTATCTTGATAAAAATGAATCCCATATATTATCTATTTTTAATTATAATTCAACGAGGTGTTATAAATTTAACTTTATCAACAAATCATTTTCTTCTATGTTCAGTAGATTGTCTGCAAAAAATATTATTTGAATATTAGTTCAATCTCGAAAATAATTTTGTTCGTTGAACAAACAATTAAAACAAAAACTGGAAATACCAAATACACAGATAAATGTCTATATAGGTCTATACTTATTTATAAACAAATATTTATACACACAAATAAAACAAACCGCATGAAACACAAACGAACGAACGAGCAAGCAAGTCAACAGTCGCAGAAACAAACAGTACCAGAAAGAAACACTAGCTCGTCATTAAGTAAACACAACACGTCAGTCAATACCGTACGACATCGAAATACAACACTACGAAATACAGGACACAGAATATCCAGACGACGTACAACGTGAACGTACAACAATAAGATAGATACGCACAATTTCTTGTGCAAATATTTGCAGCCTGTGTGGTCTTTGCTTAGTCCTTCGTTTGTATCCAATTTGATTTATTGAATAAATAGTACGATGGCGCGTGCTGAAAGTTTGGTGCGCCCTGATGTGTTCGTTCTATCGGAGAAAATTCGATATAAGCAGGTACATTCAAACGTGTACCTAATCGCTTCGGTGCTTAATTCGTGCAAACAAATTAAAATTTGGACGAATTAAATATAACACGTCTAAAGTGTAGCCATAACTATATTTATCAATTGGGTAATCAAATCTTTCTAAAACTATAAAAATTTGTAATGAAGTTAAAAAAATTTAAATTTTATTAAAATTATATGTGCGCGTGTGTATGTGTGTGCATGCGTGCGTGCGTGCGTTAGTGTGGAACGCATTAATTGACGCGTTACAAATGAACAAACACGCCATGACACGTACAATGAAATGCAACTCACGAGACGATTACAAAAGATGTGCGTGCATGTACGTGTGCGTGTGTGTACGTGTATATGCGTGCGTATGTGCGTATATCTATCTATCTGTGTATGTATTCAACTAGAGAAAACTTTAAGAAAAAAATAGTTTGAAAAAAATGTCTGTCAATTGCTTTAAAGACGTTTTCATTTAATGGAATCTTCTGCAAATAAAAAAAAGTTCAAATATTTGCACATAGTGCAAAGTGGCATGGAAAACATATGAATCAATTTGCTAAACAAAATCATTTTAGAAAAACGAAAATTAAACATTTCGATTAAACAAATAAAATAATTTTTTTTTTAAATTGAACGAAAAGAAAAGTATGCGGTGAAAAAAAGAAATCGAAACATCTGACGTGATGTGACAGACGAGAAAAATAAACACAGCATGACCTGGCGTCAAACACCTCTGACGTCATCAACAGCCACAACACGACATGACACGATACAAGACCATACTAAACGATACGAGACCATACTAAACGGTACCAGACGATACAACACAAAACGAGACAAAACATCTGCTCTAGATGTTTGATTTCTGAAATGATGTACATGAATGCAGTTGTTGCGTGTAGACCGAGAAAAGTTTATAACACCAAAATAATTATTTATTAAAATAATATTTTTGATAATTATTAAAAAAGCCTTCGAAACAAAATGTACTAACTGCACAATAGGATGAAAATTTAAAAAAAAGATTCTTGAGTCACTTGGTAGAAGGAATGAAAGTTATAAGAAAGTTGGGAAAGTAAAATATTAATACTGTTTCAATAAAAAATAAATAAATAAATAATGAATAATAATAAATAAATAAAAATAAAATTAATCATAGAAATAAAACTTGTGAACGTTTAAACAAATTAACCAATAAGCAGGAGATGAAAGGGCTGAATAAAATATGATTAATCACACATGGACTCAGCCAGCACCACACGCCACGTAAAACGCCGATGGTGATGATGAAGACGATGATGGTAATGAAAATGATGAAGAAAACGAAGATGGTGATGTTGGTGACGAAGAAGACGATGATGGTGATGAAGATGATGACGATGATGATGAAGAAGACGATGATGAAGATGATGAAGTAGACAAAGATGGTGATGTTGGTGACAAAAATGAGAATGATGGTGATAAGGATGATGACGGTGATGATGAAGATGACGACGAAGATGATGATGGTGATAAAAAAGGGGGAAAAGTACCTAAAAAACATTAATAAAAAAAATGTCGACAGATAATTCTAGAATAAAAAAAAACACACTTGTATTAAATACATACATAATACACACACACAACATCAACCTAATGACGTTGTATGTTGCGCAAGTGTGAATATTCTACAGCAACTAATAAAAACAAAAACACATAAAACGCGTCAAACAACGCTCTAATAAACATTGCTATATGAAGACTGAAAAATAACCGCTAAAATTTTATTACATCACATAGATAAGCAATTCTGCTCACACAAACATCTCTCTCCATGTATTCAAACACAAACATTGCTGGTATACATCCGAAACAAACATTGTTTTATAAAAAATACAAAATTTAAACATATAAATCATGGAAATTGACATATGCGCTGACACACATAAAAACATATGCACTCACACACACACTCACACAGACACGTTTAAGCAGATACAAGGACACAAACCTACATAGAATTATATGCCTTCATTCGCATACATGAACCAATTTATATATCTGGGCAGCCTCATAACTGATGACAATAATTGTTCGAAAGAAATTGATAGAAGAATAGCAATCGCGAGAGGAATGTTTGCATCTTTGAAAGTAATATTGAAAAACGGTAATGTATCTACAAAAACAAAATTAAAGATCGTAGAAGCGTGTGTGTTTTCTACATTGATGTATGCATGTGAGGCTTGGACGTTGAAGAAAAGAGACAAAGACAAACTGGAAGCATTCGAGATGCATTGTTATAGAAAGTTGCTGGGAATCAGTTGGAAACAAAAGATAAGAAACGATGCCATAAGAAAACAACTTGGAAGACAAAAAACTGTGTATGAAAGTGTCAAGGAAAGAAAGCTGGGCATCTTTGGGCACATCTGCAGAATGACAGACGACAGACTGATCAAAAAAGTACTGATGAGAAAGAGGGACTAGAAGAAAAAAGTTGGAAGACCTGTGAGGAAGTGGATGGATGATATCACGGAATGGACGGGGGTTGGAACATTGAGCTCAATGAAGATGGCGAGGGAAAGAAAAGGATTTTGGAGAGATAGAAGAATACCATTGGCTTCAACGGTCCCTTAAGCGCTAACACTCACACACACATACAACAAACACATACATGCAACACACACACACACACGCATGTACTACACACACACGCAACAAACACACCACACACAAACGTCACGAGCAGCAAGCAAACTACATCAGGAACACACACGAAGATTTGCCAACTGTCCGCAATTATCATCCACAAATGAAAAGTTAAGTGGTTGGCAGGATGGAGGTGATGGAGGTGAAAAAGAAGAAGATGATGATGGTGATGAAGATGATAATAATAAAGATGACTAACATATTAAAGCATAAAAAGGATTTAATGCTTTAAAAGATTACGATCGATCACCAACAATATCTCAAACATCGAGGATAATAATGGAGGTGATGAGGATGACGATGGTGGTGATGATTATAATGACGATGAGAAAGATGATGACGACGACGATGATGAAATCTGTTGAAGAAGGTTTGGTGCAGTTGGCAACTAATCACGTAAAGTTGGATGTTACGAACGTTAGCATGTATGTGTGTGTGTTTATGTATCTATGTGTGTGCGTGTGTGAATGTGTGTGCATGCGCGTGTGTGCGTGTGTATGTGACACGTTTTTGCACTGGTTTAAAGTGCAAGATCTGATTTTGAAGATCATTTTTTTACAGACAGTTCAAAAGAAGTTATGCAATACTTGGATGGATTCAAACAACTTAAAAAACTAAACAGATTCGAGTTAATTTGAAATTATTTTCCTTATAAATAAAACAATCTATTAGA